TATACACTCCGGGGTGCCACAGTCTACACTCGCCCCTCACTCTATTAGCGTCACTCAGCCTCTCATAACAGCTCGCTGTGTATCAACCACATCAAGCCTTATCCACATTCTTCCTGTATTATACTGTGCAAAATATATCTCACATTTATGTTACACAGCTTTGATGCTCAGGATACATTTCTTTACACTTGCGTGTATGAACTAAATATAAACTTAGTGAAATATTATTCTACATGTAAAGGCTCTCCGGGAAGGGAAAACAGAGAGGTAAATTTTCCACTATATATCAAGAGGACTTCAGTAATGGGGTATCTTTAAGACTGAGTCAGTGAGGGTGAAATAATAAGGTCTGGAATAGTGAAAGGAAAGAGGAGGAGGAAGGGAAAGAGAGGGAGAGAATTTAACAGGTGGTGGGCGGTTCGCCATAATAAATCTAAACCTAACTGCTGAGCTATTACGGTGTGTGGATGGGGAGCCTCACCTTGAATGTCCGGTAAGGTGGTATGGTGGTGTGTGTGTACCCTGCTGTGTTGTGGTGGTGTGTGTACCCTGCTGTGTTGTGGTGGTGTGTGTACCCTGCTGTGTTGTGGTGGTGTGTGTACCCTGCTGTGTTGTGGTGGTGTGTGTACCCTGCTGTGTTGTGGTGGTGTGTGTACCCTACTGTGTTGTGGTGGTGTGTGTACCCTGCTGTGTTGTGGAGCCAGAGTTATAATTTTCCTTCCAAGTTCTCTCGTCTCTCTCTGTTGGTGGTTTTCTAATTCTCCAGTATGGTATTAAAGACTTCGGTACCTCTGGTAAAGTTCCTAATTCCAAGCATTTTTTGGCAGTAAAGTTTATTTTGGCCTTTAACTGGGTAGTGATAACTCCCAGGACCGGGTCTATATTTAGGGTGTGAGAGGGTTCTGTGGCGGGCGGTGAAGATACTGTTATTTATGGATTCGTTAATTACATGATACCAGTTATTTGGGGCATCATCAACACCTTCCAGATTACCTTCACGAATATGTTCATCATTCATGTTGTTCCTCGACTGTCTGTAACTTTGTCTCAACTCTCGTCTCAGCTGGGCTGAGTCACAACTGGACGCGACTGACAAGTGACAATTATTGGAATGCTATAGGAGGGTATTTTTGGTCCAGGTGCCGAATTTTGTGTTTTCATTCGCAGGAATTTTGCCTGGAATCGTTGCTGAATGTGTTGAATAAAATGTTGGAAAAAGTGGATAATTATGTTTAATCAACACTCCTTGAATTAATGTGTCCAGGCTCCAGACAGCACGAGCATTATTTCAAACACTGACTCTTGATGACAATCTGCAGAACCTTTCTGTAGTTATTCTTAATTTATTTTATTCCTTGTTCCTTGGATGAAGTTAGAATGGGGTACATACACTCTTCGCCGCTGGAAGACAAAATTTGGGTGATGTCCTTACTAACCTCAACAGTCTTGCCACTGTGCCAGTTTTACAAAATATTGACAATTGTTCCATCCAGCACTGCGAATAGACAATTTGAAATTCCTGGTAAAACACTTTTGATGGTTCCTCAACGCGTGCAACAAGTATGGTAATGTCTTAGTAATCCAACATTTCAGTTGTCCATGATGGTGTCACTGGTACTGTTCCAGGCAGAAGACAAGCCACTTATTGTTAAATAAAGGGGACCTTTTGTTACTGGACTTAACGCTAAATTAATTAAAAGAAAAACAAAAGGCCAGAAGCAGAAAATCTGAATCCTGATTGACCTCTGAAACAAATTTGACCCGAGATTCAAAATCTAAACATATGCTGGCTGATGTCACGGCTTTGTCCAACCAGAGCTCTCTAAGTTGACAGTGAAACGTCTCCTGAGACGATCAAATTAACAGAGTTTTTTTGAGCACAAATGTTACAATGTAATTTGTCAGTGATAGCATTTGCCTACGGGCCATTTATCCCATATTCACTAACAAAGCCATTTGTGGTAGCAGATACCATGAAGGTTTACACTAATTAAGACAAACGGGGAACTTGTTCATAATCCTGAATTGTATTTAGTGTTTTGGGGATTTTCTGAGTACATACAGTATGTAAGTATGACACCATCAACGTTTTCGTGAACCGGGTTCTTGCTTTTTTAAACAAAACTTTTATTTAAAATTTGTGTACATACCTTCTGGAAATGTAAACAATGAGATTGGGCTGACATTCCCAAGTTCCACCGGTCATCAACCCTTCGTATGAAATTCATAGATTCATAAGAGTCAACAATCTTCCCCTCGTTCGTCTACTCCTCTTTTGTCGTCACACACTAAGAGACTGTCAACAAAAGCTTCGGAGTTCACCAAGTATTATACCATAACATTTGATTTGCCAGTCTGTACCACGATGTAGTGTTACAATAACTTTCTCTAATGCAAACTTTTGTTATTTTCTTTGTCCGGTTACCACACCAGTATTCCTTACCAGTCTGCGAATACTAATTTACTTGTTTATGTCTCTCTTACTCCCCCTCCCTCAAACAGAAACGCATCCATTCTGCTTATTGCCATGAAAACATTAAATTGCTTCTCAGAATCCTTATTTTGTCCACATTTAGTCTCTCAAAAGCATTAACTATATTTGCGATTTTTGTTATATTTACTTACCGGTTTTATATAATAATTCAGCAAAATTTACTTACTAATTTAAATATGTCTGGAAACTTTTTATATTGTACTGTACTATAGGTTCATCATTGTTTTATTGGGAGTAAGACAATGTTGTTGCGTCTTCCAACTTTGAGGTAACTTGATTTCAGTTTTTAGTTTACATATCAAAGAACTAAAAGTGAGTTAGGCGAGCTCCTGCCAACACTATTTTTTCCTGGCGCCTGATTCCGAGATTCATAAACGCTTGTGTGTTATTTCTTCGTGTATTAGGACTTTGTCTTTATGCAGCGTCTACAATATTATCACAAGGGAAGTGACTACAATGAGAAAGTAGGGAGGAGATCAAAGTAACAGAAACAACTGTTGTCAACTCTGGTGTCATGTAGGTACGGTGTTGTAAGATGGTATCGATAAAAACAAGAAAACCTTGGCCGACCGAAAAGTGCGCCACTCCAGAGCTTATGTATAAACCATTACAGAGCAACACATGTCTTGTTGTCTGGCGCGATCATCATCCTCAGGAGCCAAGTAAAACCTGAACTTAGTATTTTTTTAGGAGGGGTTTCATGTTGTCTATGTTGTGTACAGGTTAATTACACATACCCACAGGCACACACACGCCCCCCCCCCACACTCACACACACACACACACACACATACATTCGCAGTTCCTAGTATTCCTGCTTCAATTCCCTGGAGTGGCTAATCATTTGCCAGCCATCACAACTGCCAGACTGAGCAGCGTCAAAGGCACCAATGAAGTGCTCCGGCTTTTGCTTCAGTATCATCCTGGGAGTGGCTTCGTGTGGTTGGTTCCTGTACTGTGTGATGCCTGGTGTAATATAGCTTGTTTTATTAACTCTTGTGTCTACCTTGACCCCAGTGATCGCAAAGACATTGATCTTGCTACCCAAACAATAAGGCTTTACAACAGACATCTGAACTGACCTCTCTACGTTATGACTGGGGGCGTTTCTAGGGCATATCTTCTCTGGTAATACTTCCCTTAGAGACATTCCAAACGGTTGTCACACTGGCGTCAGCATCCTCAACGGCTGTGTGTCTGTTACCCTTCCACTTTTCTTAATGGACTGTAATGTTAAGTTTACTATTATTGCCTTTTGATTTTATGTCAAATTACATCTTTCTCAATATTGTCAGATACATCAGTGACGATGTACTGGACATTTGCTATTATGCACAGACAGGCACGTACAGAGTATCACTGTACTATCGAGCTACAATATTATAATTTAATTTTCTCTCTCATATATACTCGTTATATATATATTGAAACTAACTAACTAACTCTCTCTCTCTCTTTCTCTCTCTTAACCACTTGTGTACGGGTCTCTCTCTCCTGAGTAAACTAGTCTGGTGTTGGCCAAATAAAATATCAAAAGTGGCGTCCCCGTTGTGAAGGAATTAATCCCTCTCCCACTCCCTCTCATCTCTTCCTGTCTCTCTCTCCCTCCGTCCTTCCCTCTGCTCTGCCCATGCTCAGTATCTCCCCTCACTCTTTTTTCTATCTCTTTTTCCTCTGCCTCTTTCTTTCTATTCCTTCCTATTTCTCATCTACCTCTTTTTTCTCTCTCCTTCCATATTTCATCCTCTCCCTTCTCATTGTCTGTTATTCCACCTCACTGTCTTCCTATCTCTTTCTCTCTTTCTCTTCTCCATCTCTGTCTTTCTCTCCCTCACATTGTTTTGGTCACTTGCGAGTCTGATCCATCGGTTCTTTTGACGTCTTTGCAGGTTTTTTTTTATTAATTCAATTGTAGATGTTCACGGCTGATTCTAATTTGCTTTTATTACCCCCCTCTCTCTCTCTCTCTCTCTCCTATAACATGGGTCAGAAGGGTGAGGCAGGGATGGGAATGGGTCATTATCTCTTTGTTTTTACGTAGCTACGATCTATTTCCCACCTCAACACACTTTAAACCCGAACCCAGTGAGACAGTTAAATTGTTGTTCTTGTGTAAGCTGCAAGTTATTTTAGTTTTAATCATTCAATAGACTATTCAGTTTCATTAAATACGGAACCCAATCTATGACTGTTCTTGACACTTGAGTCGTTCTTTCTAAATAATTATATCAGTTATATTTGTTTTCATTGGTACGTTTCCGAGTTCACATTGTTACATTCCCTGAACTCATCTGTGTGTTAGTGTGTTAGTGTTTTTTCTTTTAGTAATTACTCGACTTGCGGCCCATTATCGTAGTGGCAATATTTAAAAGTATTTCTCATCAAAATTCTTGAAATGAAAAACAAATTGCTTGTAAATGTGATAAATTTATGTAAATGAATCCAAAATAGTCCAGCTAATGGACTTTACTTAACTACTGTTACTGAAACACCAGTTTAAACTCACCTCTAGTGGCCCACACGGTCGTCGCCATCAGGATGAAATATAATATAGTTGTCCAAATCCCGGCCATTGTTAGGAGTGACAAATGTTACTTTTAGTCACAAAGACACACGTAGCGACATTTTTTTTTCAGGTTCAGTCACTATCACTACCAGACTGAGGTACACTTAGTAGCTCTCAACACTCACTATAGCTCACTTTCTCTCTCATCATCACACATCACCTCACTGTCATAGTTTTTTGTCATTTTTTTCATTTTCTGATAGTAAACAAACCATCACTGATCACTAATTAGCACAAAGACGATACTACTTACTTCTTCTTCTTGTTAACACCGACACATAATCACTATAGTTCATTAACTAGTTTGTTCCTGCACCGTCACAAGAACCTTACCTGCTAATATCCAGTTCGTTCGCCTTCAATAAATATCTCAAGTATATTGTTTTGATTTTTTTTAAAGTTTCACTGTTTTTGGTTGAACATCATCAGCATGTTCTCCGCATGGTTGACAGCCGTGTGTAGACCATTACAAACTATCTTTGTCCTGCTCTGGATACTTGACAGGTACTATTTCATTACGTCACAGTCGCTGGTGTTTCAATAATAGTTCTTTTCCTCATCCTTCACTCTAGCAGTTGTATTTGAAACACATTTTGACGTGTGAAATAACTCGAAGGCTTGTTACTCTTTACCTCCCGGGGAGAGGCATGCTGAGCAAACATACTGTGTGAACAAACAGAACTCTCATGTAGAGCTCAGACAAGTGTCGTTCTCATGTGTACTCAGAAGAGTCCCTGAAGATGACTGTTTAGATATTTTTTTTCCTTTATGTGACTAAGGTCACTCGTCTGTCTGAGGTGCTCTTACATACTATGTCAAGTTCAGAATGTCATCATCATCTGCCGACATGTCAGGTTCAGCAGCTCGGCATCTGGAAGTAAAAGATAAAATTAGAACTACAGAACTTCAGTATTTCTATTCACAACTGAACACCTTGTGATAACTGAAACAATCCTCACAGCTTCCTGTAAACAATAGATGTATATTAAGAGTGTTATAAGTTACCCACAACACCCATTATGATGACGTCACTGTTTGCTTACGACGGACTTGGTAGACAGACTGTAGCTAAAGCATTGTTAATTTTAAAACAAGATAGTGGGTGTGTTAAATGTGAAAAAGGGGTTACATCACAAAACTCTCTAATTAAAACATAAGATACGGAAGGAGACTTTGACTAGCAGGGGTGATAATTAGGAACAGTTTTCTGGACAACTTCAAGAGGAAAAGACCATACTAGTCCAAAAGCAATGCAGCATCTGGGGGCAGGGGAGAGAGAGAGTGAGGCGTCTGATGGTCCGGTAGCCCCAGCCACCAGATAAAAGCTCGTACACGTTCATCTATACAAGTTGTTTACATATTTTCATCATTGCATTAAACATTAAATATTGAGCAAAATGAAACCAAACTTGTCCGCCAAATTAGCAAAAGTCAGAATCCAAATATTAGCCGAATATGCAAATGGTACGGTCCAGTATTGTGAAATATTTATACTAACCGAACAGTCTTACAAACTAACCTCTTTTATACTTTAAATATTATACGTACCTGACAGCTCCCATGGTATACTGTAAATAGTTCTCTAGACTTGTGCTCACTTACTATTATACAAACAATAATATAACGTAAATTTTGACAGCTTTACACGTTTACTTTACTTCAGCAAGCGTCAAGACCGGTCTATTGATCATCAAGGTCAACCCTGATCCACCTGGCATTCAAGATGGTTGTGTGTCACTTTAGCAACTTAAGAAAACAGAGCGACGTCTACTTAAGGCGATTAATGGGGAATAAAGTGCAGACATCTGGGAAAACCTTAGTAATTCACTAATGCTTATCATAAGACTCGAATGTCATAGGTCGATCGGTACAGTTTTAAAGAGCAGTTGTTACAGACCTAAAAAACGCTCGACTCTTCTGAAATGGTTGCAAGAATGTATACAATAAAGTCTTTATAGTTTCTGCGGCATTTTGAAGTCTTTTACTGCACCTAATTGGTGAATCTACATAAACGGAACAAAAATATAACTTTGTAATTACCACGTTGTTCATGTTAACAAAAGTCACTATGACAGCAAAAAGCTGACGTGTTTGTAATGCTGCTCTCATGCCCGTACACCCATTAACAGTAACATAAGCTACGCTACAACTGTAATGAACATTATCGAGTGAGAGATGCTCTAATTTTTCTTTATAGCGTTTTTTTCGTATCGTTTAGTTTATAATTAAATTGAAATTATAGAAAAGTGTTGAAAACACTGCTGGCCAGTGCAGCTGGCCAGTTGTCTATATCAGGGAGCGGACTGTAAACAGAGATCCTGACATAATTATTATGTGAACACAATTGCTACATAGACTGTGTCGCCACCTTGTCTTTTTTTTGTGTTACACTAAATAGTGATCATTGCCAATTAGCGATAACCTCTATGCATTTTTTTTCTGAGTAACCATAAACGGACCTGAACAACATAATATATATAAATAAACAGCTTAACACAAAAACCTAACCTAACCTAACCTACTTAAAGTAATCTGGGACCATTTGGGTGCACGCAAAATAATTCTCACATTATATCAATAAAAACAAAAAGTTATCCCTATTCAGCAAAAAGGTCAGTTTCTTTTTAAGTTTTAATCGGTGATTATCTCTTGTTAGTTGGCCCTGTGACGGTCACTGCTATTGTCAGAGGGACTCACATTTGACCCCTTGTGTACGGGTTCTCCTCTCAGCTGAATATAATCGTCTGGCTTGAGCGAAATAAGATATTAAGTGTCTACATGCTAATTTCCTCCTATTGTCCCACGGTCACTGCTACACTACTCCTCCTGTGCCGCAGTAACTGCTGCATGCTACCTTCCTCCTGCTATGCTCTGTAACTGCCGCATGCTACACTTCCCTTGCTGTGCTCGGTAAGTGCCGCATGCTACACTTCCCCTGCTATGCTCGGTAACTGCCGCATGCTACACTTCCCCTGCTGTGCTCGGTAAGTGCCGCATGCTACACTTCCCCTGCTGTGCTCGGTAACTGCCGCATGCTACACTTCCCCTGCTGTGCTCGGTAACTGCCGCATGCTACACTTCCCCTGCTGTGCTCGGTAAGTGCCGCATGCTACACTTCCCCTGCTGTGCTCGGTAAGTGCCGCATGCTACACTTCCCTGCTGTGCTCGTAAGTGCCACACTTCCTGCTGTGCTCGGTAAGTGCCACATGATACACTTCCTCTGCCTCGGTAAGTGCCGCATGCTACACTTCCCTGCTGTGCTCGGTAAGTGCCACATGCTACACTTCCCCTGCTGTGCTCGGTAAGTGCCGCATGCTACACTTCCCCTGCTGTGCTATAATTGTTCATTTATGCTTCACTATCTAAGTTTGTGTCCCTTTTCCTCATACACATGAGCATGACACCTAACTCTAGCTCCTGCAACGACTGTTTTTTGCAAACTTTAATAACACGCTCCTGTAAAAGCTGATGGGACAAGCTTTACCATCACTAATGATCGATGGCCACCAGTCTCGTATTTTGTTCCAGGCAGCTGTGTGATGACGGCTCCTATGACCTGCCTCACCCCTCCCCCCTCCCGTGCTGTGACTGTCGTTTTCCACCCGCTACGTCACAGTCGAAATAATTTCTCTTGACGCTAAATCGAACCGCGAATTGTTTTGTTTTCCGTTTTAGAGTTCTTAGTAATATATACAGTATATGTGATACAGCTATGTGCATCAGGTAGATCCTAATGAGCTTGGAGTGCCTGCTGTTTGATACTGCACTCCGTTATTAAGTCAAGTAATGAGGAATTGATATTAACCTATAAAAATATAAAAAAACGAGTGAGTTAATTAAATATATCGCAGTGGTATAAATAACATAAATATGGTAATTTTGGGGCCAGATGGTAATAATGAAACCTTTGATGAGGATCTGTCAGCCATCCACGTCCTCCTTCTGGGGTTAATATTCTTATTGATATTTTCCACATCGGTAGAGTTCCAATATGTATCCCCAGGCATATCATGTTATTACTAAACGTACACTGTGGGCCTTAAATTACTGAGGGTCTGTACACAACTGGTCATGTGTACAGCAGCTAAACTTGTTGTTCGTTTTGGTTTTTTACAATACTGTTCATGACAGCGGTGAAAATGCATAAATGGAAGCACAGTGGCCTTCCAGTATATCCAGTAAAATAATGTATATTTACTGACAATGTATAAATGGAAGCTCTGTGACGCTTCTGTTTATTCAGTAAAATAATATATATTTCGGAGAGATATAGAATGAAGGGTCAAATAGCAGGTGGAAAAACTTTTATAAAACAAAGCCTGAGGGACACACACGCACCAGAGTAAACTACAGTGTATAAAGGTAACCAAATTACATCGGCCTTTGATCAAACACAAAAGTTATAATCAACCAAATTATATACAACAACCACCTTAAAGAGACTCTCACCTCGATGGTCAAAATTATCTCTATTCTACGAACCTAAAGTTACCCTTCAAGCTGGTCTCAAACACAATACATAAAACCCTACAGACAACACCTCAACATCCCTCGAAGGTTGACGTGCTAAGCCAGAGAACCAAACACAACCTTACAAACACAATCTTACAAACACAACCAAAATAATCAACAAACATGAAAAAAAATAAAGTTAAAATTTGATTAAAGTTTTCTTCGCTTGCGTATTGACCGACACTCGTGGTGATGGACTGCCCAGGCCTATATTTACCCATGTACTGTACTTCATCATTTGATAAACTTCCAACACGATGGACCACCGACATACCAATGAGGCTCACCGTAACGATGTTCATTCTCTCATTATCCGTCATGTTCCTCCTTATTCTCTATGTTCTCCCGTGTACCCTTCATGTTACCCCGTGTACCCTCGATGCTACCAGTGGATCCTACATGTTTCCCAGTGTACCCTCCAGTTTCCCAGTGTACCCTCCTGTTCCCCGGGGTACTTTCTTCACACAAAACTTGCAGCAGGCAGTGAAGTATTCGGTACACCCTGAGGGACATGCTCGGTTAAAGCTGTCCCTCATGTCACGGGTATTTCGAGGGCTGACAGCAGCACTAAACCGCAGTACCTGACGTCAGCCTCGCCGCCTTGTGAAGCCGCTTAATATTCTGGCTGGCAGGATCTGAGCCACTCACACGCCACACTCTTAACACGATGAAAATTTTGATGGTCATAAAGTTAATGATAATAACTTCTATAATGACCTGATCCTGAGAGGTCCATAAATAATGAGTGATCATAAAGGTTGACTCATAAATAGAGAGGTGATCATAAAGGTTGACTCATAAATAATGAGTGATCATAAAGGTTGACTCATAAATAATGAGTGATCATAAAGGTTGACTCATAAGTAATGAGTGATCATAAAGGTTGACTCATAAATAATGAGGTGATCATAAAGGTTGACTCATAAATAATGAGGTGATCATAAAGGTTGACTCATAAATAATGAGTGATCATAAAGGTTGACTCATAAATAATGAGTGATCATAAAGGTTGACTCATAAATAATGAGTGATCATAAAGGTTGACTCATAAATAGAGAGGTGATCATAAAGGTTGACTCATAAATAGTGAGTGATCATAAAGGTTGACTCATAAATAATGAGTGATCATAAAGGTTGACTCATAAATAATGAGTGATCATAAAGGTTGACTCATAAATAATGATCATAAAGGTTGACTCATAAAGCGGGAGGTAACCTTATACGCTGACTCATAATGAATGAGTTTCTCATGAATATTAAGACTTATAAAAGAGGTGAATATAAAGACATTAACTAATAAGTGTCACCCAGACTCACGTGGACACAGGCCCCGACTCGGGTGTTTCATTTTATAAATATAAAAAATAATTAACTCTGAAGATGGTTAGAAGTCAGTGGTGGCTCATGTACCAGGAGAGCTTCACTAAGGTACGGGCCAGCGGTGTTTCATGTACCAGGAGAGCTTCACTAAGGTACGGGCCAGCGGTGGTTCATGTACCAGGAGAGCTTCACTAAGGTACGGGCCAGCGGTGGTTCATGTACCAGGAGAGCTTCACTAAGGTACGGGCCAGCGGTGGTTCATGTACCAGGAGAGCTTCACTAAGGTACGGGCCAGCGGTGGTTCATGTACCAGGAGAGCTTCACTAAGGTACGGGCCAGCGGTGGTTCATGTACCAGGAGAGCTTCACTAAGGTACGGGCCAGCGGTGGTTCATGTACCAGGAGAGCTTCACTAAGGTACGGGCCAGCGGTGGTTCATGTACCAGGAGAGCTTCGCTTAAGTTATAATAAATGCGGATCTCTCTCCCTCTCTCTCTCCTGACGATCAATAGTGAGATAAGCTGAAGATCATCCCACTAATAAGTTATAAAGCACCGGAGTAGAGTGAATCATTAAGGCACATACTCGTCAACCCAGAAATATTAACGGCACACTCCTTAAGACTCATTCGTGATAACTCAACACCAACCATCTCATTGTCCAAGATATTATATACCTGTATATTAATATCATTTTGGTATTGTAAATTAAATATTTTCAATATTTCTTCAGTGTAAAGAAAAAAGTTTTGGCTACTAAAGACAATATATCACCTGGAGTCCACTATATTATTACCAGAAATAGTTCTGGCATTACTCGTACTGTTTACATAACAACCTCTTGATGGACACGACTACCACCTCCCCAAACCTATTATTTACAACGCATGCAAATAACATTGTCATTATGACTTTACAGAGTTGCTTTGAATACAGCTTTCCAACACATTATGTCTACGACAACAAACTTATAAATATTGTCACCAGTATCTGCGACATCAGGTAAAGCAGCTTACATACACATCTTATGTAACATTATAAATGCGACTTTCATTACAATTAAAATTTATTTACATACATATTCCTACTCTTACATGTCTTAGGAAAATACGAATTTCATACTAAACTAGCCACTTCCTTTTTTGTTTTGTGGCAAGTTCCAGTTGTCATTCCTGATTTTCCACCAAATTCTCAGCCAAGAGCGTCAAAATGAATAATTTAGCAACGTCTATGAATTGTTATATCACACGTTACTGCCTTACAGCACATTACTGCCTTGAGATGCTGGAACAAAACTTAAATTCTAATACAAAAGAAAACAACTACACCAGTCGCTCTAATAACACGACTCGATTATGTTATTTAGTGTACACAAGATACCTTTTGTGGTGGAGCACCTCCACCAGGTGATCCTGGGGACTGTGGTGGAGCACCTGCAGCAGGTGATCCTGGGGACTGTGGTGGAGCACCTGCAGCAGGTGATCCTGGGGACTGTGGTGGAGCACCTGCAGCAGGTGATCCTGGGGACTGTGGTGCAACACCTGCAGCAGGTGGTCCTGGGGACTGTGGTGCAACACCTGCAGCAGGTGGATCTGGGGACTGTGATGGAGCACCTCAAGCGGGTGGTCCTGGGGACTGTGGTGGAGCACCTCCAGCAAGATGACGAGGTCTCTCACTAGCTCCCTCGGCTCCAGGAGCGACGCGCCTAAACACTACCGTGTGTGAGTCACAACTGAGCCAGTGCCTGTGGTGGCCGGCGAGGCTACCACATCCCTCCCCCAACCCCATCCATCCCCACCCTTCTAACTCACTCGCTCTTTCTGTACAGTATATATATATATATATATATATATATATATATATATATATATATATATATATATATATATATATATATATATATATATATATATATATATATATATATATATACCAATTTGTTTTCCTTGCTTGATATCGGGTAGCAACAATCAAGGGCAGGCATAGATGCTCCTTTTCATTCAGCGTCACCCAATACCTGTCTACTCCTACTAACATGTGTTCTACTGTTATGACCCAGACGTTTAGTCATTTCCTGTGACTACTCTCCGTTCATTTTCATTATCATCACACGGGTCACCAGGTCAAGTAAATTTCCAGGATACTAAAAAAAATGAATTAAACTGTGTAGTAAAAAGCGGTAATTAATGCAATAAATAAATATGGTTAACATGCTAACATTATACTTAAAATTAATTGATAAAGAAAACGTATATCTACTATAGCACACACACGCACACACACGCACACACACACACACACACACACACACACACACACACACACACACACACACACACACACACACACACACACACACACACACACACACACACACACACACACACACACGCAACCTATTTATCTCCCCATTCAGTGTAGGTGACGTAGGAGGGCAGCAAGCATCAGGGAAACATAGCACAGTATAGTACAGCTGTCTGGGCCAGTAATATCGCGTCATCCCAACAGGGTCAGAGACTGTTAACCTGGGTACTTTGGTCCTGACTGAGCTGGGCTTCAGACTTGTTGAAACCTCAGGAGACTTCAGAGTGTCGAGGGAAATGTTCCAGTCGCACTGCCACCTCTCCTCCATGGTACACTTCATGAGCCATAGGTATAATTTTGCCCTACAGATGACACACTATAACCAGCTTCTCCCTTGTCCATCACACTGGTGAAAAAAATTAACAAAGGCCATTTTTTTCATTTTGAATATTCAAATTCTCCCGAATGTTATTGTTTTGCCCTTTCGCCCTGTCATATTTCAGTTGATATTGTTCATGTTTGTTTCCGTTATTAATGTCACTGTATTTCGTTAAAGTCCATATATTTTAGACAACTGACATGTGTTTTGTGTTTTGGAAACGTTAATATTTATGTTTGTCAGGATCAAAAAATGCCTTTATTTTTTCTTTGGCTACGATATTTTTTAATTTACATTATATTCAGGCTGGACAGACAAGCGGAGGTTTCGATTTCGGTATTATGGTGATACTTGTATAATTATCATTAATGACAAATTTTCAAGGAAATAAAATAAAAATGAAATTTGTATTTTTGTATTTTATTATTGCCGCCTATAATCATTTTTGCTTTGAATTTTTTAAGGGTCAAAAGCAGAAGCTAATCCAAATTTCTGACGCGTGTGAAAATTCACAATCATTTAAAAATCTTCCTTTCCAGCACTCATAGCGTGTTCAGTAGTACGGTACTCGTGCTTCCGACTTAACAGTCACGGCCATATATACAGCATGGCCTCGCCTTGTTTTGATTTGGATTGGAAGTGAAATTGGGGTAAAACAGTTGAAGTAAAACAGTGTCATAAAAGTGTCATCAGATGATACGCTAATGAGCGACATAGTTTCTGAAAATCTGTGTCAGGACGTGACCAAACGGTAGAGGGCTACACGTGTAAGGCATTCAGCTTCAAGTGTTGTAGCTGGTCCCATTATACTGAAACATGATTTGCCGTGTTCGACAAGACAGGCAGACAGACAGACGGAGACACGGAAAGACGGACAGACAGGTAGATAAACTTTATTTCAAACGTATTAAATCAGCTCAAACACTACGTTGTGGCTCCCATGCGCATCTAATCTATCACTAGCAAGTCTACGGACTTGGCGCACCCTCATTCAACTACTACGAATAATAATAAAAAAATCTATCACTAGCAAATCTACGGACTTGGCGCACCCTCATTCAACTACTACGAATCAAAACCAGCAGCAAACTGGACAGTCCACTGACACCCAGTACTCCTCAGCGACAGCGAGAAGCTGGTCACGTGACCAAAATCCATCGCTATGATTGGTTGATGGCGGCTGTGCATGTAAACTAATTGCAAATGCAAATACACAGAGCTACTCCGTGAATAACCAATCAGCGTTAGCAATACAGAGTGAGGTTGTTGCGAATAGGCACTCCAGCATAAACGTTCATTCACCAGAATAAATAAAAAATCAAAAGATACTGTAGAACAAGGAAATACTCCAACAAATTCATTAACACACACACACACACACACAGCCACCGGCTACAACTCTATTAATAAACCGTTTATTATTATTATTATAATATATATATACTAAATTATGGAATGATTGACAACCAGCATTTTGGAAGAAAAGATAATAATACTATTAAGAAACATGTAGCGTCACTTGATGGAATCCAAACATACCAATTCTACACTAAATATCTAAATCACTTTTAATATTATCCCGGGCGTCACGTCGTCACTCACTCATTGCTCACTTCTGTTCACTCGAGTTACCAAGGAAATTATTGTCACTCTGACGATGATGAGGGCCTCAAGTGAAGGACAAAACTGGAAAGTGGGAATTATTAAAAATACAAGTTAAGGTTTATTGTTTGTTTCGCCATAAATCCAGTCTATTACTCGAGGGTGCGTGACCATGATCTTGACTACTCGAGGGTGCGTGACCATGATCTTGACTACTCGAGGGTGCGTGACCATGTTTTGTGTATTTTAGACCAAGTCTATCCCTGTTATTGTCATTTCTCACACTCGTCAACTAACAGCTGAGAAAATGATAATTGAAGACAGTGAGTTATCATACCATGAGAAATTGGTGGCCCACGTAATTTCCATTTATCTCTTTTTAATTAAGAGCTTTTCATTAGCTTTTTCCAACGTTTTTATAAATGAAATTTTACCTGAGAGATTTAGTTAAAAAGTAAAGTCACTCACTCGGACAAGGACTTCTTGCAAAATATAACAAGGCAATCAGAGATGGCGCATCTCGCCCCAGCCACGCCATTGCCACTGGAACGGGAAACCCCAAAGTCGTGACGTCATGTCAGTGTTCTTTCAATTTTTGTTTCATAAATCGATGGAGGAACAACAAAGTCTTCCTTACAGATTTAAAGAGTTTTCATACACTATATTCCAAGATAAAATTATTTAGAAGAAATTAATATACCTGTGTGGGCTTACAGGTATTGGGGATTGTTCCTGAAGCTGTTCTATATCCAACCCACACTTATCCCCCAGGCCTCTTCCGGCGATTTTCTTCACATCGAGCAGTGGAGGAGGAGGTATGGTGGGTGGTGGAGGTGCAGGTGATGGGTTAATTGAGGGGGTGGGGGTGGTGAGGAGTGGGGGTGATGGGGTGGCGATGGTGGTGGGGTGAGAGGGGATGAATGGTCCTTGAGCCAGCCACCTACACGCCCGCATTCATTTGGTCTACTTGTGTGAGGAAGTGAAAATCAAATACGGGACCACGCTCAGTCCTCGTAACGGTAGATGAATATTTCTAATTCTTCAACACAACCCGTAAGACATCAGTAAAATAATTCTTCTCGGTATCCTCAAACAGTGATCTTGGCATTAGTATAAAGGAACGCGACGCCACGCTAGGAGTGAGTGAGGTAGACTGAGCTTCATTAACAGCTGGACAATATCAAGTTTTAGAGAACATCGTCAACTCCGAGAAGTTGTGTCAGCCTTTTCATTTAAGATAGGAGGCTTGAGAGCAACACTCGACGGTTCAGGCTCCTTCCCTGCACCACACAAACCTTCCCTGCACCACACAAACATTTAATAATTTACGAGTCCGGAGAATTGTTGTCTTTTATAGGAAATTAATAATGTACAAACTAGAGATTTTATTATTATTCTTTTCGTCTCAGATAACTGGAAACACAGTGGATTAAACTTGAAAACCACACGACAATGTGACTACCGGTTCGATCAGATTCAGCTCAGAAACTCAATAGCGGGATTTTATGACATAATTACTCAGTTATAGAACGTGAAACTAATAACAGTGCAAATCGTAGTCTATTTTGTCATTTGTGTAATCATTAACATATATATTAAATCTGTGTTTTCAATAAGTGATATATCCTCTTCCTGTCCATGAATAAACTTTTTTTTCAAAGTTTGTAATAAACGGGGACATTTCATAGCCTTTGGTTAATGCTTTAAATCATTACCTGACGTCATGGGCTATCGTTATTTTGTAATTTCTCTTCTCCCCGTCACGACACACCAACATACACACACTCTCATAACTACAACTCCCAAACATACACATCTAAGCGGCCGAGTTACTTTCACAATCACAACCTACTAGACATTCAATATTTTTACAATCACAACACACCAGCCGTAGTTACTTTTACCGTCACAACATACCAGCCGTAGTTACTTTTACCGTCACAACACACCAGCCGTAGTTACTTTTACCGTCACAACACACCAGCCGTAGTTACTTTTACCGTCACAACACACCAGCCGTAGTTACTTTTACCGTCACAACACACCAGCCCTGGTTACTTTTAGAATCACAATACACCAGCCGTAGTTACTTTTACCGTCACAACACACCAGCCCTGGTTACTTTTAGAATCACAATACACCAGCCGTGGTTACTTTTACAATCACAACACACCATCAGTAGTTACTTTGACAATCACAGCACAGAAACATGCAGTACACACCCTGACCCTCGTAATTCTCTCTCCCTGTGTTTGATATTGGATGACAAATTTGTTTCCCGCCAAACAGAGAATTCAATTGAATTTTCAGGAACATCAGCTTTACATTTTGTTTATTTTGTCAATTCATATTTAAGTAATGAATTATCCCGGTGAAAGAATTAAGATATGCTTCAACCTGTCCTTCACTGACTCTCACTTAAGCGAAAGCT